TTTTTTTATTGTTGAGTTTTGAGAGTTTTTTTGGATACAAGACCTTTGTCAGATACGTGACTTACAAATATTTTCTCCTAGTCTGTGACTGGTCTTCACCTCTGCTGTGTAGTTATCTTTTGCAAAGCAGAAGTTTTTTGTTTTGACCAAGTCCAGTGTTATCAGTTTGTCCTTTTATGGATCATGCCAAGAGTTTCATCATTTTATGCTTTGCATTTCAGTCTGTGATCCATTCTGAGTTAATTTTTGTTTATGGTCTGAGGAGTAGTCAAAGAGCATTTTTATGCATATGGATATCCAGTTGTTCTAGCACGCTATTTGTCGAAAAGACTGTCCTTTCTCCATTGGAATTGTCTTTGCACCTTTGTCAGAAACCAATCGAGAATATTTGTGTATTACAACAAAAAAATAGAATATTTGGGTGTGTATTTCTGGATTCTCTGTTCCATTGGTATTTTTTTGTTTATCCTTTACTAGCTGTTTTGATTAATGTAGGTTTATAGCACATCTTCATATCGAGTATTGGGAATCCTCCAAATTTATTCTCCTTTTCAAATTGTTTTGGCTATTCTAGTTCCTTTGTCCTTCAATATAAAGTTTATAATCCTGATGGTTATTTTGACTGGGATTGTGTTAAATCTATAGATCAATTTGGGAAAAATTGGATGGGAACGTAAAATGGTGCATGCGCTTTGGAAAACAGTCTGGCAGCTCCTCAGAAGGTTAAATGTCAGGTTACCATGTGACCCAGCAATTCCATTCCTAGGTGTTTACCCAAGAGAAATGAAAACATAAGTCCACACAAAAAGTTGCACACTAATATTCATAGAAACATTATTCATAATGGCCAAGAAATAGATACAATCCAAATGTCCATCACCTGCTGAATGAGTAAATAAAATGTGGTCTGTCTATACAATAGAATATTATTTGGCAATAGAAAGAAATGAAGTATATGCTACAACATGGATGAACCTTGAAAACATTATGCTACGTAGAAGAAGTCAGTCACAACAAGACCACGTGTTGTTTGAGTCCAGTTACGTGAAGTATTTAGAATAGGCAGATCCATAGAGACAGAAAGGAGATTAGTATTTGCCAGGGTCTAGGGGGAGGAGGGAATGGGGAGTGATGGCTAATGGGAATGGGAATTCTTTTTGGGGTGATGAAAATGTTCTGGAATTAGTGTAGTGATTGTTGCACAATTTTGTGAATATACTAAAAACCAATTTAATTGTACACTTCAAGAAGTTGAATTTTACAGCATGTGAATTATATCTCAAAGCTATTATCAAACTAGTTTTAGGAAAACTGACCTCTTAACTGTATTGAGGCTTCCATTCCGTGAGTATGCCCTTGTCTTTCCATGTAGTTAGGTCTTTTGTATTTCTTTTTTCGATGCTTTGTAATTATCAGCATGCAGATCCTGCAAATATTTTTAGATTTATTCCTAAATATTTCATTTTTTCAGGGGGCTCTTGTAAATGGTACTTTAAAAAACTTTTTTGTTTTCCAGTTGTCCATGGCTGACATATAAAAATAGTTGATTTTTTTATATTGGTTTGTATCCTGCATCCTTGTTACACTCACTTTTTAGCCCTGTGAGCTTTTTTGTAGAATTTTCTTCACAGTCACGTCATTTGCAAATAGGAGTAGTTTTGTTTCTGTCTTTCCAATATGAATGCCTTTGTTTCTTTTTCTGCCTTATGCACTGCCTAGAACTTCCAGTAGATTGTTGAATAGAAATGGTGGAAAGTATGTCCTTGCCTAATTTCTGATCCATAGCGGAGAGAAATCAGTCTTTCCTCATTAAGTATAATGTTTGCAGGTAGGTTTTTTGTGAATGCCCTTTCTTGAAGAAGTTCTCTTCTACTCCTAGCTTGCTAAGAGTTTGTTGTTTTTTTTTTTTTAAATCATGAGTAGATGTTGATATTTATCATGCTTTTTCTGCATCTGTTGAATACCATGTTGGTTTTTCTTGTTTAGTCTGTTAATGTGGTGGATTACATTGATTGATTTTTGAATGTTGAGTAGCCCTTACAGTTCCTGGAAAAACTCCACTCAGTCATGATGTAGCATTCCTTTTATATATTGCTGGATTCAATTTGCTAATATTTTGTGGAGGATTTTTGTGTCTGTGTTCATGAGAGATCTTGGTCTGAAATGTTCTTTTGTGGCTTAGCCTCATAAAATAAATTGGGTCATATCCTCTCCTATTTTCTGGAAGAGATTTCATAGAGCTGGTATTATTTCTTCCTTAAATGTTTATTAAAATTTGCTAGTGTATTTTTTTTTTTGGAGGGTATTTAATGATGGATTAGATTTTTTTTTTTTTTAGTATGTATCGGGCTACTCAGGTTATTAATTTCTTTCTTCTTAGATGAGTTTTAGTAATTTGTGTCTTTCAAGGAATTGTTCTGTTTCATCTTGTTGAATTCATGTGCATGCAGTGGTTCATAATATTCCCTCAGTATGCTTTTACATCTGTGGGGTCAGTAGTGATGTCCCCTCTTTTGTTCCTAATGTTGATGATTTGTGGCCTCTTTTTTTCTTGGGCAATCTGGCTGGAGTTTTATCAGTTTTGAATTTTTCCCCCAAGAAGCAGCTTTTGCTTTCAATGAAATTCTCTATAGTTTTTCTGTTTCCAATTTCATTAATTGCTCTTATTTTTATTATTTTTTTCATTCTGCTTACTTTGGTTTAATTTTTTTCTTCTCTAGTTTCTTAAAATAGAAATTATTGAGACCTTACTTTTCAAATATAAGCATTTAATGCTATAAATTTCTCTCTAAGCACTGTTGTAGCTGCATCCTACAAACTTTGATACGTTTTCATTTTAATTTAGTTCAAAATATTTTCTAATTTTTCTTGGGACATCCTCTTCAGTCCATTGATTATTTTCCAGATAGCCTTCTGCTATTGATTTCTAGTAATTCCAATATTGTCAGAGACCATATATTCAATAATTTCCATTCCTTTAAATTTAACGTTCATTTTGTGACCCATGATTTGGTCCATACTTGTGAATGTTCCATGTTTTCTGGAAAAGAAAGTGTATTCTGCTGTTGTTGGGTAGAGTATTCTGTATAGGAAATTAGATCATCTGGTTGATGTTGCTGTTCTGTAATCTTACTGAACTTCTCCCTGCTTGTTCTATCAATTACTGAGAGAAGAGTGTTGATGTCTGAAGTATAATTGTGGATTTGTCTATTTCTTCTTTCAGTTCTATCTGGTTTTGCTTTATATGTTTTGAAACCCTGTTGGTAGGTGGAGGTAAAGGGACCATTATATTTGTAAAGTTGAATCCTGTTTTCTCTGAAGTTGGGTCCAGCCACTGAGGAAACCCACAACTAATATTCTTGGATTTGAGAAGTTATAAAGGCTTCATGCTTTAGTTATAAAGACAGCAGACAGTGTCAATAGAAGCCTGACTTGCTTCTCTGGCATTCACTCGGAAGGTGTTTCCTGCAGGGCCTTCTTCGCAGAGGGCAGCCTGCTGGGCCTGTGTGCAGTCTAAAGCACAGACACTAGCAGAATGTGTTCGTCCTTCTATGAAGTAAATAAATATGTGTAAGGAGTTAATTAAGGGTGAGTGAGAGGGACGGGTGGAGGACATTTTCCTTCATATCCCAAATGACCTATATTCCTAGGGTGGTTCTTTCCAGAAGTTGCTAACCTGTATTTTAGAATCCTTCCACTCCTTGAGGATGTGCACATCCCAGGGAACTGGTGCATCCTGGGCAGGCAGCCCCTCTTCCTCTTACCCTTTGTCTGGAGTTGTGAGTGGATGACCATAATGCCTTTGACCCACGTGGTGGGGTGGCCTGGGCTCTGGGGACACCTTTGTTCCCTTTACCGTGGGATCATTGATTCCTTTGTCCCTGGCGGAGCTCTGGATTCATCGCACGTCATTATTGGTGTCCCAGCCTGTGCCATGTGTGGCCAAGACGTGCTGCCCCATCCCAGTTCCTCTCCCCTCAGAGGCTGCACCTCATGTGATGAGCTCTCGTGTGGAGCCCTTCCCAAGGTTTTCATGTGTGTGACTTGATGGACTACAGTAGGATTAGGTATTTGCATCTACCAGGGTTGGCATTTTTGGGACCAAAGAATATGAGGGTGTTTGATAGGGTTATTTCACAATTTTGTTTTTAACAAAAATGTACGTTTTGTACAATCATACTTCAGTAAATGGTGTGCAGTACTCCTGCATGTTAATTATCTGAATAATAGTATCAAGTCACAACTGGGGCCCATTGCAGAGATGGTGAAGACAGAGATGGGGATGGACACGCCTCCTCTGCTTTTCCAGGTCATGTGTTGCCACCCCAGGGGGCCTGCATCACGGCATCTGCGAGACAGGCAGGCACCTCAGCCCCCACCGTGGTGTCAGTCATTGATCTCATGGCCGTTCTTTCACAGAAGCCGGGCCGGGCTGCGTGGAAGCATGAAAGGATGGCCCCTCAGGGCTCGCCGAGACACGCGGACCCGAGACTGTGCATGCTGGCTGGGAACGAGGAGGCTGCCACCTGCAGCGTCAAGGTAAGTCAGGCCCCCATGGACGCTAGGGCAACAAGCGTTGCTGGTGCTGCCCATGTCCCAGGTTTGTTCATACTGGTGGAGCCATTTCCAGGATGTGAAGTTCTCATCTGCTGGGCGTACTTGCCATATAGACAGCTAATGTGTGCCACGCCCCGCACAGCGACACGCTCGTGCCAGTGGTCAGGTCATGTGATAGAGGGGCTTGGAGAGAACAGAGGTCACTGAACCTTGGTCCGGGCGTGCACAGACACATGTTTCAGTGCTCAGCAGTTAGGGGTGAAGGCGTGAGACTGAGTTGGCAGATCACAGTCTTTGCAGCCTGGAAATCAGAGAGCAGTGACCCTCAAGTCCTTGATTTGACAATATGGTGAAAACTACAGATTTGTTCTTGAGGGAAAACATGCGGTTTAGGACACGGACCCCAAGCTCTGTGTACTAGGTCAAGGGTTTCACACAGCCCCCAGCCTGTTCATGGACCTGTGATAAGGCCCCCAGTCTGACTAAGCTTAGGTGGTCGAATCTAAGGTAGCCTCTCTGGCCTGAGCGGATGGCGCTGTGGAGAGGAGGTCCGTGCCCTGCACGCTGTCTGATAGCAGAGCGCTGTTTGAGGAGCAGGGTTCTCTGGCTGTGAATGTTGCATGAGGCTGTCACCCCTGATAATCTGCCGAGGAAACAAGTCCTCTGGTTCTCTCTCCACAACAGCAGGTGCACGTGTGCCACACGAGACGTCTCAGCAGGCTGTCTCTGTTTCCTGTGATTACGTTTTACTGTTTCTTTTCTTTTAGATGGAAAAATTGTACCTGCATTATCTGAGAGCAGAGAGTTTTCGAAAAGCCTTGATTTATCAGAAGAAGTATCTCTTGCTGCTGATTGGTGGATTCCAGGATTCTGAGCAAGAAACCCTCTCAATGATTGCTCATTTGGGAGTTTTTCCTTCCAAACCAGATAAGAAAGCCACTGCATCTCGTCCTTTCACCAAGTTCCGGACTGCGGTCAGGGTGGTGGTTGCAATCTTAAGGTACGCGCCAGCCCCAGCCTCTGACCTGCTGGGCCCAGGGTGCTCCAGGTCCTCCTGTGTGGCTGACACGTGCTCATGGTTTTCTCTTGCTTTTGTTCTTTGAAACCCTTTATTCTCTTTCGAGACGAATGGCATTTGAGACCTTAAAGAAGACGTAGCTGACACTGTCAGAAATCATGTTGTACAAAGCCATCATCTTCTAGAACGAAAAGACTGTAGGATGCTTTTTAATTCCAGAAGAACGTGCCATCCTTTCATGGGTGTCATGCTGGATTCTTTCTGACAATAAGCACATCTGATGACGTTCAAAACAGTTCCATTTTGTAAATTTCACTTGCCTATATTTCAGTCAAATGTGTGTTACATAAGGGAGCTTGTTGTTAGTTGGAGCCCTGGTGGCACAGTGGTTAAGAGCTTGGCTGCTAACTAAAAGGCTGGCAGTTCGAATCCACCAACTGCTCCTTGGGAACCCTGTGGGGCAGTTCTGCCATGTCCTGTAGGGTCGCTATAAGTTGGAATCGACTTGACAGCAGTGGGTTTGGTTTTTGGGTTTTGTTGTTAGTGCCCACTGAATCGATGCCGACTCATGGCGACCTTATGTCTAGCGTAACAAAACGTCCAGTCCTGTGCCTTCTTCATGATCACTGGTGTGTTTGAGCCCATTGTTGTAGCGATTGTGTTAATCCATCTCATTGAGGGTCTCCCTCGTTTTTGCTGGCCCTCTATTTTACCAAACATGATGTCCTTTTCTACCGATTGGTCTTTCCTGATGATGTGTCCAAAGTGAGTCAGTCTTGCCATCCTCATTTCTAAGGAACATTCTGGGTTTATTTCTTCTAAGACTGAGCTGTTTGTTCTTTTAGCAGTCCACGGTATATTCAGTACTCCTTGTCAGTGCCACAATTTGAGCGCATCAATTTTTCTGTCATACTTTTTCACTACCCAATTTTTGCATGCATATGAGATGACGGAAAAGACCATGGCTTGGGTCCGATGCACCTTAGTCCGCAAGGTGACATCTTTGAGTTTTAAAGCTTTCAAGAGGTCTTTTGCAGCCGATTTGCCCAGTGCAATGTGTCATTTGATTTCTTGACTGCTACTTCCATGGGTGTTGATGGTGGATCCAAGTAAAATAAAATCCTTGACAACTTCAATCTTTTCTCTGTTTATCATGATGTTGCTTATTGGTCTAGTTGTGAGGATTTTTGTTTTCTTTATGTTGAGGTGTAATCCATACTGAAGGCTGCAGTCATTGATCTTCATCAGTAAGTGCTTCAAGTCCTCTTCACTTTCAGCAAGAAAGGTTGTGTCATCTGCATATCACAGGTTGTTAATGAGTCTTCCACCAATCCTAATGCCACATTCTTCTTCATATAGTCCAGCTTCTTGGATTATTTGCTCAGCATACAGATTGAATAAGTATGATGAAAGGATACAACCCTGACGCACACGTTTCCTGATTTTAAACCACGCAGTGTCCCCTTGTTCTGTTCAAACAGCTGCCTCTTGGTCTATGTACAGGTTCTGCATGAGCACAATTAAGTGTTCTGGAATACCCATTGTCTTAGTTACCTAGTACCGCTGTAACAGATACACCACACGTGGGCAGATTTAACAAACAGAACTTTATTTCCTCACAGTTAGGAGACTTGAAGTCCGAACTCAGGGTGCTAGCTCTAGGAGAAGTCTTTCTCTCTCTGTCGAATCTGGAGGGAGGTCCTTGTCTCTTTGAGCTTCTGCTCCTGGGCAGTCTTCATGTGGCTTGGCAGCTCTCTTCCCCCATCTGTTTGCTAGCTTGCTTGTTGAATCTCTTTTATATTTCAAAAGAGATTGACTCAAGATACACCCTACACTAATCCTGCCTCATTAAGATAACAAGGACAACCCATTCCCAAATGGAATTATAACCACAGGATTTACAACACATATTTTTTGGGGACAGAATTCAATCCATAATACCCATTCTTCATGACGTTACCCATAATTTGTTATGATCCACATAGGTGAATGCCTTCATGTAGTCAATAAAACACAGGTAAACATCATTCTGGTATTCTCTGCTTTTTGGCCAAGATTCATCTGACATCAGCAATGATACCCCTTTTTCCTCTTCTGAATCTGGCTTGAACTTCTGGTAGTTCCCTGTCGATGTACGGCTGCAGTCATTTTGAATTATCTTCAGAATTTTTCCAACGTGTGATGCTAATGATGTTGTTGTGTAATTTTCACATTCCATTTGATAACCTTTCTTTGGAATAAGCACAAATTATTAATCTCTTTCCATCAGTTGGTCAGGTAGCTGTCTTCCAAATTTCTTAACATAGATAAGTAGGTGCTTGCAGTGTTGCATCCATTTGTTGAAGCATCTCAATTGGTATTCCATAATTTCTGGAGCCTTGGTTTTTACCAATTCCTTTAGTGCAGCTTGAACTTCTTCCTTCAGTACCAGCAGTTCTTGATCATCTACTACTTCTTGAAATGGTTGGACGTTGGCCAGTTCTTGTTGGTACAGTGACTCCTATGTATCCATCTTCTTTTGATGCTTCCTGTGTCATTCAGTTTTGTAACCCATAGAATTCTTTAGCAGTGCAACTCGAGGCTTGGATTTTCTCTTCAGTTCTTTCAGCTTGAGAAATGCCAAGTGTGTTTTTCCCTTTAGTTTTCTAACTCGAGGTCTTTGCACATTTCTTTACAATACTTTACCTTGTTTTCTTGGGCAACTCCTTGAAATCTTCTATTCAGCTCTTTTACTTCATCATTTCTTCCATTCACTTCAGCTGCTCTGCACGTCAGAGCAAGTTTCAGAGTTTTTTCTGACATCTGTTTTGGCGTTTTCTTTCTTTCCTGTCTTCTTAATGAACTTTAACTTTCTTGTATATGATGTTCTTAATGTCTGCCCACAACTCTTCTGGTTTTCAATCATTAGTATTTAGCGCATCAAGTCTGTTCTTGAGATTGTCTCTATATTCAGGCAGGAGGTATTCAAGGTCATACTTTGGCTATTGTGGCTTTAATTTTCTTCAGCTTCAACTTGAACTTGCATATGAACAATTGATGGTCTGGTCCACAGTCGGCTTCTGGCTTTTTCTTGACCGATAATATTGAGCTTCTCCATTGTTTCTTTACCCAGATGTAGTCGATTTGATTCCTGTATAGTCCATCCAGAAAGGTCTATATGGATAGTCTGTATGTTGTTGAAAAAAAGTATTTCCGATGAATAAGTCATTGGTCTTGCAGAATTCTGTCATGGGATCTCTGACATTGTTACTATCACGAAGGCCATGTTATCCAACTATTGATCCTTCTTCTTTGTTTCCAACTTTCACATTCCAATCACCAGTAATTATCAATGCATCCTAATTGCATGTTTGATGAATTTCAGACTGCAGCAGGTTGTAAAAATCTTCAGTTTCTTTATCTTTGGCATTCGTGATTGGTGTATAAATTTGAGTAATAGTTGAATTAACCTGTTTTCCTTGTAGGCATATGAATATTAGTCTATCACTGACAGTGTTGTACTTCACGATAGATCTTGAGATATTCTATTCGACGATGAATGGAATGCCGTTCTTCAACTTGTCATTCCCGGCATAGAAGACTATATGATTGTCAGGTTCAACATGGCCAATATCAGTCCATTTCAACTCACTAATGCCCAGGATATCAGTCTTCAGTTGTTCCATTTTATTTTTGACGACTTCCAGTTTTCCTTGACTCATACTTTGTACGTTCCACATTCCAGTTACTAATGGATATTAGCTGCTGTTGTTTCTCATTTTGAGTCCTGCCATATCAGCAAATGAAGGTCCCAAAGGCTTGACTCCACCCACAGCATAAGGTCAACTCTGCTTTGACGAGGCAGCTCTTTCCCGGTTGTATCTTGGGTGCCTGCCAACCGGGGGGCTCGCCTTCTGGCAGCGTATCAAACAGTGTACTATTGTGATCCATAAGGTTGTCACTGGCTCATTTCTGGAAGTAGAGCAGCAGGCCTGTCTTCCTAATCTGTGTTAGTCTGGAAGCGCCACTGAAACCTGTCCACCATGAGTGACCCCAGTACGACAAACTGACAGACCGGTGGTGGAAGAGGGGTTTACAGCAAACAAATCAAATGTGCTGCTGTCTAAGCAGTTCCGACTCATGGTGGTCCTATGTGTTACAGAGTAGAACTGCCCCGTAGGGTTTTCTTGGCTATAATCTTTACGGAAGCAGATCACCAGGCCTTTCTTCCACGGCACCACTGGGTGAGTTCAAACCACCAGCCTTTAGGTTAGCAGTTGAGCACGGACTGTTTGCATCATCCAGGTGCATAGAAACACGTGACTGAGTGAGCTGCTATACACCTCTAGCCTGTGAGTATAGCTGTGGGTCCCACTCTCCCCTGAGGAACCCTGTCTTCATCCTTGCTTCCCAACACGTCTGGGAAGCCCCACGCTACCCCGGACCCAGCCCTGCCTGCCGCCCCGTCAGAGCCATGTTTTCCGGAGGCAGTGCCTACTCACCGTCCTCTGTACAGAGACTGTTGGGAGCAGGAGCGTGCTCCCCGGCCTGCTGGGAATTTGATCATTTGTAAACTTACAAAAGCGTTTGTCTCACCAAGAATAGTGCAGCTGTGTCTGCTCCGTGATGCTCACGGAGACATCCTTCCGGAGGCCATCAGCGTTTGTCTGGGGGGATGGAGGTGGCGGAAGGCGCCCAGGCCCCGTGATCTCTGCCCGGGGGCGTTGCCGAGAGCGGCTGGGGGACCCCGGTGCACCCCGAGCCCTGTGCAGACGCCCGCGGCGCCTGCTGACCTCGCAGATGAGGCAGTTTCCGTCCCTGTGGGTTATTTTGTTATAGAGGGTTTTCGTTGGCCCTTCCATTCCTGTTTTGCTCTAGTCTTAAATGTATTTTCTTTGTCTGCTTTCTTTTGTAGATTACGCTTTTTGGTAAAGAAATGGCAAGAAGTGGATCGAAAAGGAACTCTACTGCGAGGCACAGCCCTCCGCCCAGGTGGGACTTGACTTGTTAACACCTGCTTGTCCGTAAATGTCTCTTCTCATCGCGGTAGGGTTTTTGTTACCTTCACGGTCGTTTTTCAGCGGTCAGTGGGAAGGAATAAGGCACTGTAAGAAAATGTCTAAAGTCCGTTAGTGCTGTTGCCGAAGAAGTCGGGTGGGTCTTCTGAAGACGAGTGGTTTTATGTTGGGAGTAATCAGAAGTGCAACCATGACTTACACACTTAAGGAAATCAGAAGAGCATACCAATGATTTAAAAATACGAAAACGCTAACTATATCGACTCTTTAACAATTAATGTGTAAGCAGATAGCCTGTTTAATTCCCCAAAACCGAGTGGGGTTGTGCTCCACACTGCTGCGTCTGTCCCGAGAGCAGCACCGCTTGCTTCCGGCCGGGTCACGTCTTCCCGCTCCATTGCGCTCTCACAGTCTCGGGTCATGCAGCCCTCACTTGCTGTGGCGCAGAATGGCGCCCCCTCTGCCCGGTGTCTGTGCACTTGTGTGAGACGCGGAGGTGCTTGTGTGTGACTGCCTGTAAGGAAAGGGCACCCTTACAACTGGAAGCCCAGCTGGACCGAGCACCCCAAGATGGGCGGCGAGCCCAAGGAGACAGAACGGTGCAGTGAACAGGTTCCAGCACGGCCACACCTGTGTGTCTTGGGCCATTGTGGGATCGCAGAGACAGCAGAGGATGCCGACGCGTGGGGTTTCTGCCACTGTGTTTCCATGTTCTCACGACAGCAAACGAGGCACCTGGGAGGCAGGTGCCTGGGTCACTGTCCCTCTGGAGATTTGCAGCCCTGAATGAGCACAGAGCATGCTCCTCCCACCTAGCGTCAGGGACGCAGCAGCAGCACCAGCCCCCACCCCTCTTGCCACCTGGGCTGTGCTGGGTGGGCCCCAGGGATGGAGCCACCTGTGATGGGTGGGCGCAGGTGGGCCCTGTCCTGTCCGTGGGATGGAGCCACTTTTGACGGGGGGGCGCAGGTGGGCTCTGTCCTGTCCGCAGGGCCTG